CCTGCTGACCAGCAGGCCCATAGGAACAGCATCAGGGGATCCACAAGTGGAAATACAATTCCATCAATTATCACACTCATGTATTTTATTAAAGTTTGGTTGGGAATGTCATTTTACATTGGACAAAGACCTGAACAGTATAATTTCACAACCTCTCCTCCATCCACTGTCTTCCCAACCCATGCCACTGATTTTCATTGAGCACTATTTATCCCTGTGTTTGTTTCTACCAAAGACTCATTCGCTGTCTGAAGTCAGAGATGAGAAATTGAGCCTAAGACTGACCAAAGGTCAGGGAAGAGGGGGTGGTGGGCAAGGAGCGGCTTTGCTATCACCCATGGCAAAATCTCATCCTGTTGGCCAGATGCAAACCTCTGCATTTGCCCAAATATATTTCCTTTGCCCCTTATGTAACCATATTCTTAGGAAGCTAAGTGGAAGTCCAATACCCACTCTGTAATTCTATTCCCTTGGGGTACTAAATGTCTGCCAGTTCCCACCCCTTAATACTGCCTATCTTCTGGTGGTGCTAAATGCCCATGCCTCTCCACTCTGTCAGAATTTTAATTGTCCATAAGACTGGGATCCATTCTTATATTTGGCAAGGAGGATTCCTTGGGTGAAGTTGCAGTTCCTGAAAATTTTATCCCAAATGGTTGGAAACCAAAGAATTTACAGCAGATCTGTTTCCCCTTAAAACCAAGAAAAAAACCCAAAAAGGAATGTAATAAGCATTAAATGAAAAAGAACATTAAAAAATAAACATTAAAAGTTATTGCACAGCCCTTAATTCCACAAATGATTTCGGCTGATGCTACCAGTTTTCTTTAATATTTGGGTCTCAAGTCTCAATGTGTCAGCAATTAGGATGTTATATAAATGTTATTATACTGTAAAGCCACCCTGAGAACTCTCAGTCTGAGGTCTGCTCGGCTCCTTCCTCTTGACATTTAGGTGCCAGTCAAAGAGCTTTTTGTTTCCTTAGCTGATTTTTTTTTGGGGGGGGGGGTGTTCAGATATTTTACTGCAATTTTGTCAGCTCTCTCCCCATATTCAACCATGATAGCTTTGTTCATCTGAATACGGCATTCTGCAGGTGCCTCCTTACAAATGGGCAAAATCTATACTTGTCCATACATGTGCTTTCTCTGTTGTGGCCACCATATTATGGAACAGCCTGCTTGATTTGGTTAGGAAGGCTCCAACTCTCCTGGCTTTCCACAAATTATGTGTTAAGGATTTTTACATGTATCTTGAAAGTTACAACCTCAATTAAGATTGAGGTTTAGAGATGGCCTCTAAATTCTGAGCCTAGGTGTGACTTGACCCTCCCTAACCCCTCCCCATCGAATCGTAGAATCACAGAGTTGTAAGGGGCCATACAGGGCATCTAGTTCAACCCCCTGCTCAGTGCAGGATCAGCCAAGAGCATCCCTGACAAGCGTTTGTCCAGCCACTGCTTAAAGACTGCCAGTGAGGGGTAATTCACCACCTCCCTAGGTAGTGGATTCCACTGTTGAACAAGTCTTTTCCTAATATCCAGCCGGTACCTTCCTGCCCTTAATTTAAACCCATTATTGCGAGTCCTATCCTCTGCTGCCAACAGGAATGGCTCCCTGCCCTCCTCTAAGTGACAGCCCTTCAAATACTTAAAGAGAGCAATCATGCCGCCCCTCAACCTCCTCTTCTACAGACTCAACTAGGGTTGCCAAGTCCGCCAGTGGGGCGGGTGGTTCACCTGCTCGAATGGTCCTTTACCCGCCGGCCCGGAGACTGAGGGGCACGAACATCCACGGCCTCCACCACACTGGCTGCTCATATTTAACTTTGGGTCCACCCTTGCCCCAAGATCTTGTTCATACACACTGCTATCCAGAAATGTATACCCTGTTCAGTATATGTGTCCCTCATTTTTGTTACCCAGATGTAGAACTCAGCACTTATCCTTATAAATTGCATTTTGTTCACATCCACCCACTTTTCCAGTGTGTTCAGATCTCGTTGAATTCTATATCTTCTTGTGTGTTCGCTTCTCCTCCCAATTTGGTGTAATCTGCAGATTTAATGAGTAGCCCCTCCACACCCTCATCCAGATAATTTATAAAAATATTGAAAAGTACCGGACCCAGAACTGAGCTCTGTGGCACACCACTGGACACCTCCCTCCATTCAGATGAAATGCCATTGACAACTACTCTTTGAGTGTGGTTCTACAACCTGTTCCCTATCCACCTAACTATCCTAGAGTCCAGACAGTCCTCTGGTTTACCCGTAAGAACATCTCAGGGAACCCTATAAAACCCCCCCACTGTAAACACGTTCTTTGAGCTTCTGATCACTAAGCGATCTTATCTCAGTCAAGGGTCTGTTCCATCCCTATCTCCCATGAAATATGTGTAGAGGATATGTTTTCTTTTTCTCCCGAGAAAGAATGCAGGATATACTCTGAAAGGAGGGTTAAAGTGAATTATGTTTGACAGAATTGGTGAAATTTCTTTTGTTATTCTGGACTCTGACCTTTTGTCTGTTTTATAACATACAAGAACTTGGAATCTTGTTCAGTTTGTCAGCTTGCTCTCTTGCTTGCATCAGGATGATCATCTTATTAAAACTGCATGCTCAAGTAGCCTAAAGCCTTGAGTGAATCTTTTTTCTCCCAGATAGAACTCAGGAAAGTGGGGTTATATTAAGATTTTGAAAACTCCCCTAACACTGTGCAAAACTGAATTACTCAGCAGGGCTTTTTACACAGGTAATAAGGCTGTACTGAACTGAAATAGTTCAGAAATATGCTTTGGTAAAAGGATAGGGACTGTGGGCTATACTGTTGTGTACTGTCTGTTGCTGTAAGTATGCTCCAACTATGTAATTTCAGCATAATTTTAGCATGTCATGTTTAAATGCTTATACTTTGTTTCAGGTTTGTTCCAGCTGTTTCAAATTTCTGCAGTTGCTATTATACTGTTGACTGGATGTCCTATCCTGTTGATTATATTTGACTTATGTAATCTGCCTTGAGAGTGAGAAAGGTGGACTACAAATAACATAAATTACAAATGTGGACACTTTCCTGGGAGAACAGCTAAGCAGGCTTCTGAGCAGACCTGCCTAAGATTGCATTGTTAATTTTAAACCCCCTCAAACAGGTCACTGGAGAGGCATATTAATTTTCTAAATGGATACATATTCACATGATATATTTATGTGACACTATACTTCTCTCACACTGCATCCCACTGTACTCACCTGTATTTCACTATTTCTTTTAGTGTATTCTGTACTATTTCACACACAATTACACTTCTGAAAAATAATCTGGAACCCCCCCCCCAAAAAAAAATTCAATAGTTCTCATTTTCCCTTTCCAAACTCTTTATAAGCATGCTTAGAAAGAGCTAACCTGTGACCAAAACTGCAGCAACCCCTACTTGTCTTTTTAAAAACCATTTACACCCAGAGGCACATCCATTGCACCCCATGGCTTCATGATGTACATAGGGTTGCCAACTCTAGTTTGGGAAATTTCAGGAGATTTGGGGGCAGTGGCTGGGAAGGGTAGAATTTGGGGAGGGCAGGTAGCTCACTGGGTACTCCTCTCTCCAGAATTCCCATTTTCTCCAGGGGACCTGGTCTCTGTAGTCTGGAGATCAAATGTAATCCCAGAGGAACTCCAGGCCGCATATGAAGGTTGACACAACACTCATCATGGTTTTGCAAGCTTCTGGGAGATCAATCATTTCTTGCCTCTCTTAAAATGGCTGACCACCCAGAAAAGTGCTATGCGTGCAACAGTAAAGAGGTAGAAGCAAGCCATTCACTCGAACATCTGCCCGTGACTATTACAAAAGATAAACTGTTCAAGCATTAAATTGCATTCTGGTGCTCTTTCCCGTTCATAGTTTAAACCCGTGTCCTGAACTGCTAAAACGAATATTCCAAAGAGAAGAGCCTTTGGACCACCGAAAAAAAGCTCGCACATTACACTACTTCTCAAACAGGCCATTTTATTAGAAAAATTCTAGTCAAAAAGCAAAGGGCAGGAGGCGGGGCTGAGAGAGGCAACCAAACCAAACTTTTCACGCTTACGGCTCATCCTCGTTTTCACGTACCAGCACGTCAGGCACGTTTTGCGCATGCGCCCGACGAATTCGGATCAGGACGAAGAATGCGGCCGACGACTGTACGCAGACTGTACCATTGTATGGCGGTTCAGGGGGAAACAGTTCTGCGTTTTCTCTGATTAACTCTGAAACTTCTCGTTTATCGACTCTTAGTTTCCACCGAGAAAAAGCCTCCTTAGATTTACCGAAAAGCTGAGGCAAAGCTGCTATTCAAAAGGAGTTATATGAAACAGACACATTTGTCTCTTTCACGTCACCCCCGGCCGCTCCCTCGGGTGGCATCAGTCGCCGCTGGAGGAGGCGGGGCTGAGTCCTCCTTGCACTGCTCCGGCGTCCCTGCTGTTGCCACAAGTTCCCGCCGTTCTCTACGCTCTCTTTTCCTTATCCGCAGCCTAGCTTAGCCCAGCCCGGCTACGCGGCTTCCCTCAGACGGCTTCATGGCGTACAGTCAGGGAGGCGGCAAGAAGAAAGTCTGTTACTACTATGATGGTGAGGGAGGGATTGAGGGGCGGGGCTTCCGTTTATGCTTGGGGGAGGACAATGCGAGCGGCTGTTTATCTCTCCCCTTCAATCCCCCCCCCCTAAATTTTTACAGTTGCGCGTGTCCGTTGCCTCCTCGCGCCCTCTCCGCTGCCCCCCTCCCTTGTTCTTGCGCGCCTCCTTTCCGGCGCACGCGTCGGCTGTCGCCGGATCTTTGCAGCCCCGCCCCCTTCTCCCCCATTCTGTGCTTGCTTCAGCTATTGTGTCTGCAGTACCTGCTTCTGGAAGATGCCTGCCTCGTTTTCCAGTGGTCCTCCTCTTTTCCCGTTGCCCCCATTTTGCATTGATTGCTGTCTCTTCTCTTGCTTAATCTACACCAATTCATTCAGACTCGTCTGTTCGCAAAAGAGTTTTAAGGGATGGTGGTGGGGTTGTTGGTTTTTGTTTTTGTTTTTTTAACAGCATGCGGCATCGCAACACACTTTTGTTCTCTGTTTGATAGAGATTGGAGAGACACGACACAGTCCTAAGTAGAAATTATTCCCATTGAGTTCCTTCGGACTCAGTGGCTAATAAGTGTAAATTGGAATGAGACTCAGTGAATCTATTGAAAAACCAGCTAGGTTTGAATTTGAATCAAGACCCGAAACTTCTTAGGGCCACACTGGAGGGTTCTCAGGGCATGGCCTTTATTCCTGATTTGCAAAGCTCCATTGTATAGGTGCACCTTCCTCCCACAAATAAAATCTAAATATCACAGGTCCAGCAAACGTTTCTGTCTGTTGGAATTTTATTCCGCATCTATTAAAACGGATTAGTCCTGGTTTTGAGATCTCCTAACTTTATTGCAATTTTCAAAACCAGGGTGGCTAAAGAGTGGTGAAAGAACAACATTTTCAGCTCTTTTTAAAATTTGTGACTGCCATTGAACTTCTAATATGTTATTCACAAATATAAAGGAGGGGGCACAGAAATGGAACAGCATGGTAACTGTTCCATTGATGTAAGGTAATGTATTTAGTGAACTCTTAAAAAAAGAATTCAAAGTATGCAGTTCCAGAGTTTGTGTTAGTCTGTTCTAGCAGTCAGCAAATCTCAACAAAATGTCTTGTGGCATGTTAAAGACTAGTAGTTTTATTATGACACTGGCTTGTGGGGAAAAGAACACACTTCATCAGACACATAATGTCATGCTTAGTTGATATACACACACACATAAAAATATATAGAGGTATAAATGGAAGGGTTGGGGCAATGTTGCCACGTCCAGGTGGGGCTTGGAGATCTTCCACTATTACAGCTGATCTCCAGACAATACAGAGCAGTTCCTCTAGAGAAAATGGCTGCTTCTGAGGGTGGACTCTATGGTATTGTACCCTACTAAGGTTCCTTCCCAACCTCTACCCTCCCCTGTTCTCCACCACAAAATCTCCAGGTATTTCCCAGCTCAGAGCTGACAACCCTAGTTGAGGGAGTTACTGCAAAGTGAATTGAGAATGGCCACTGTTCTGTTGCGTGGGTATGTGTTACATTACATTGTAGGTCACAGATGAGTGCAAGACCCCATCAAAAGAATAATAACACGTACCACTCCCAACTCATGAATAGGCTGAGTAAAATGACAGAATTAGCCAGACCTTATTGAGCTGAGGCTTGATAGAATCAAATCTGCATACGATTTCTAACATCAGATTCACGTAAGAGTCGTTCTTTGAAGGTTTATGTAATAATTTGTTATTGTTGAATGTGTAGTGTTGTTCCTCATTGTTCAGGAGTGTTTCCATTTTTAATGTGTTCATTTATCTTTTTTAACACTTACCATTGCTTAAGTATATAACAGCAGGTATCTGAATGTTACGTTTTGGAGTAGAATACTTAATAGGTTTTTTTTCTGCTTCCTTCACAAAAAATAACAGAAAAATAGGATTTTTTCCTAGTAAAAGCTACTTTCTCTGCCATTTATTTGTTAGAATCTTACAAACTTCATTTTGCAGTTTATTGTTAGAATCTTACAAACTTCATTACTTCATTTACACCCCCACCTTTCTCCCCACTAGGGCCCCAGGTGGTGTACATTATTCTCCTCCTTTCCATTTTATCCTCATAACAGCTTTATAAAGTGGATTAGTTTGAGTGTGTGTGAGTGGCCCAAGGTCACCCAGCAAACTTTCATGGCAGAATGGGAATTTGAACTTGGATCCTAGTCTGACACTCTAACCAAAGCACTACATTAGCTGTGAAATAAAGAATTTTGTATATTCTTCAAAAAAACTACCAGCGTTTAGACTGATCAGTGAATCTGTTTCCATTTGCACCTATGCATTGGTTTGTCCATGCTCAATTTGCTGAGTTTCTGACAAAGTGAGCCAGTGTAGTATGGCAGTTAGAATGTCAAACTAAGATCTGGTAGACTCAGGTTTGAATCCCTGGATGTTTGCAGTCACACACTGAGTTACCTCTCAGGTGCTTCTGAGGATAAAATGGAGGAGAGGAGAATGTTGTAAACCACTTTGGATCCTAATTGAGGAAAAGATGGGCTACAGTTTAAGTTTAAAAAAAATGTGGAATTAGAAGACGTAGGTGTTCTGGATTAGCTAATATGGGACGTTAAACTGGGATGTTGCCTGTGTGGGTAGTTCATTTGGGGATGTGGCACACATTGCAAACATTCATAAAGTTACTGTTTAAAGAATTAGAGACAAAAAGGAACTAAACAAGTAGAGTTTTGTTATATTGTGGCATATCATGTGAAATGGGAGCTCTTACGTCACTACAGATTCATCCTAGGGTCTGAGATGGAGACACTGCAGATGATTTGTTTCAGTTTGTGTTTGTTTTCTGTATTGAACATTTTGAGTCCCTTCAGAGTTTATTTATTATTTATTGCATTATATTTTAAATCGCCCTTCCCCTGCCAGGACAGGGCTCAGGGCAGTGTACAGCATAATAAATTAATATCATAGTTAAAACAATAAAACCACAGTGATTAGCCTAAAAGATGGTTCATAGTCATTCACATGAGAGAGCACATAGCATCCCTGACTCAATTCCCCAGGCAAATATAAGGATATTTTATAGAGTTCAGTAAAACTTCTTCAATATATGTGATAGAGTTTTCTGTATCTAAAGGCATTCTGAATAGTTCAGATGAGCGGGAAACACAAACCGTCTCCATGAAACAGTAGTTTTGAATGAACAGCAGAAATCGAATGCTTTTTTGTAGAAAAGACAAACAGTTCCATTTTAGCTGCTTTTAGGAAAATTGTATTATGATGGTTTTCTTGTTAGGATTTAGGCACTGCTTGTGTTTCAGCTTAGTGAAAGTGGTTTTATCATAAGACTTTGGTAAGTGGCTTGTGTTGCCTGGTAGATTTAAGGGACTGTATTAGATCAGTCCTGTGAGCCTCTAGGCTGAGGCAACAAGTAAGGATGGGCCCAAGAAAGCCCCTTTAAACAGCTGAGCTGTCGGAGCAGGCTCAGCTGTTTAGAACCTAAAACAGCTGGATGGCAGGAGCAGGCTGCCCCCGTGGCTCACCTGTTTCCAATCTAAACAGCTGAGCAGCCCGGAGCAGCCTGCTTCCACTACTCAGCTGTTTTGGCAGCTTTTATGGGGAGAAGAAAGCAGGGGCTTAAACCCCTGCTTTTTTGCTTCCCACAAACCTCCACGGACTACCTTAAAATGTCATGGAAGTTTGATTGCCGGGCTGCAGTCTGTGATCTTCAGTTCAGTTTGTGAACCACAAACTGGACAAAATTTGTCACAAAGGTTTGTGAACTGATTCGTGCCCATCCCTAGCAAAAACACCGAGATTGAACATCCAAAGCCTGTGCAAAAGCCCATCCTTTTTTGTTGAAGTTGTACCACAAAATTGTGCTACTAAATAAAGCAGCAGCTGTTGGTACTGCTTTGCTAGCATTCCCAGTCATTGTGCAGTATAACTGCCCTATAATTGTATTGGTGGGGTTTTTTTCTTGGCAGAAATGTGCCCTCTTCTTCCTATCTGAAGAGCTACTTACAGTTCAGAGAACTGAGAACTGTTTTACCAAATGGTGATGTGACAAGAGAGTTTAAGCTAGGGATCATCCTCTGAGAATTGTGTCTTGGATATCAAAGTACTTAACTCTGCCTACCGAAGGCTAGAAAGAATGGATAGGTTAGCTATAATGTCTGGATTGTTACTTCAGTCTTCAACATCTTTTCTAGGGGAATTGCTTTAAAGTAACTGTGCTTAGTATCATCACAGCCAACAAGCAAATATGTTAGCAGTGGTAAGAATGAATAAACTTGTATAGGATAATTAGATAGTTATGCTTGAGGAGAGGAGGGAAAGGTATTCTCAAGCAGCATATTGCATTCCATATTCTCTATATGAATAGATTTGGGATAGCTTTCATACCAAAGGTGGACAGTATAGTGGATAACTGATGCTACAGAAATAGAATTTTGTTTGTGTAGCTTATCTGGAACCCCAAAATGCTGCCAAAAGAGACTAAATGGCAGTTGCAGCCTTCTCCTTTGTTGTTCAGTTGTCTTTGTTGAGCTTTTACAGGGAAAACTGGGCCCCTAGGAGGGAGGATTGTTTGAACTGACTTGGCTTTTTCAGAAGAAAAATGGGTGTTATTGGATTCTTACTGTACAATTAGAAGTCTGAAGCTGTGTGTTATCAAGCCAGTATTTATGTGCTATAAAATGTGTATAGGTGTTGTATAGTAAAAGGATAGAAAAATACAATGGGACCACGGTGGAAGATGCACTAACAAAAAAAATACACACTGTGTATCTAATTAGATATATATACATATATGTATAATATAATCCAATAAAGAAACATGAAAACATCTAATAAATACACGCACACATACAAATTTATTATCACACTTGTAAGCATGATCCTACCATACAGTACCAAAATGCCAAAATCTTTAAGCATTCCAACATGATTCTCTCAGTGAACCCTCAAAGCTTCTATTCTGGAACACAGATCTTCAAACTTATAAAAGGACACGGTAATGTTTGAGACGTCATCCTTTTATATGTTTGAAGATCTCTGTTCCAGCATAGAAGCATTGTGGGTTCACTGAGAATCACGTTGGGATGCTTAAATTTTTTTCAAAGAACCTTTAACTCAGTGGCCATAAATTCAAGGCAACTGAAGATTCCTGACAAAGACACTAGCAAATCGGACATTTACTAGAAGGCCATGGAATCTTGGTACTGTGTTTACAACTCATGTTAGAAATCATCCAGTAGAGACAGAGACTTTGATGTATTTTGTGTAACAATTTTATTTACTGGCATTTTGGTGTTGTATGGTAGGATCGTGCTTACAAGTGTGATACATTTGTATGTGTGCATGTATTTATTGGACATGTTTTCATATTTCCTTACATGATTTATGATACATATATATCTCTAATTAGTTACACGGTGTGTATTTTTGTTAGTGTATAGTAAAAGAATTGCAAGTACATATAATAATATTGTGAATAGAAGAAGTCCAGATATTTGAATAATAGTATAAATGTAGCCGTAGCCGTACTTCCTTGCTTGTTGATATGGAAGACTGTTCAAGAGAAAAAATGAGATTGCTATTTCCAGGTTTTTCTGCAGAAAAAACTACTTGTACATTTGAACAAGCACTTCTAGTAGTAATGCAGCATGTACTCTGTAGCATGTTTGTAGGCTTCTAGAAGTAGGAATTTCTAGAACAACCCCCCCCCCCCAATTGGGGACCCAAAGAGGCTTACAGCATTCTGGCCTCCATGATACCCTTACAACAACCCTGTGAGGTAGGTTAGGCTGAGTGTAGGTTAGGCTGAGTATATGACTAGCCCAAGATTGTCCAGTGAGCATCCTTAGCAGATTAGGGATTCAAACCTGGGACCTAGTCCAGTGCACAAACCATTGTACCACACTGGCTCTTGGATATAGTTGAATATCAAATATCTGATAGCAGAGCTATTACTTCTAGTACTACCATTTGAAGACCAGACAAGATACAGTGGCAGCAGACTTTGGGTTCTTGATGGAAATAACCTCCTCCTAGATAAAAATGGTTTTAAAAAAAATTCAGGTACCCTGCTTTCCATGTATGTTAGAAGGCACTACCCCACTCTGATTTTCCCTTCTAAATTTGCCCCTGCCAAGTTGTACTCATCAATGTTTGCAATCTGTCTGTTCAATATTTAGCGAGAATAGTGGTGTTAGATGATTATAATGAGACAGGGGGGGACCTGCGATACTCGCGGGGGGAGTCTCTCTCTTTTCCCCCTTCTCTCTCTTTCCCCCTTCTCTCTCTTCCCCCCCAGTCTCTCTCTCTCTGTCTCTTCCCCCCAGTCTCTCTCTCCCCCCTTCTCTCTCGCCCCCTGTTCTCTCTCTTCCCCCCGTCTCTGTCTTTCCCCCGTTCTCTGTCTCCCCCCCCAAGAACAGACCCTTGGAGGCCTGAAGGGGCGGCGCGAGAACCGTTGCGCTTGGCTGCCCCTCTCCCGCTCCGTGGGACTTGCGATGGACTCCGGGCGGGCCGGGAGGCAGGGAGGGAAGCCGCGCCATTCTCCCGCCGCCCCCCCTGCTCGCCACTTGCCTTCCAAATGGCGACAGCGGCGGCGGTCTCCGCAGACCGTTTCGTGCGCATGCGCACGGACGCTCTGACACTTTCGGGGGGATTTAAATATCCCCCTGATATTTTTTTTTAGTTTTTAGATTTCTGTGCACCCCTGGGGACTGCCCCAAGAGTGCACAAAACTCTCCCTGCCCCCCAGGTCGCCCCGGAGCGCGGATTTAGCGATCCGCACAGACGGGGCGACTTGGGTATTAGATACATAGATGCTAAACAAATCTTCCAGCTTGGGTCTTCAAACCATTTTTATCTAGTAAAGGGTAAAGTTTGTGATCTTCACTCTACATTTAGATGTCACAAACAAGCCATTTGCTTGACTGGCACAGAACTCAGTTAATGGTTGTGCTACTGTGCTCCCTCCCTTCTTGATTCATGCATGGGGTGTGCTTGAAGAGTCCCTGGTTTCTGAAGTCTTTTCAGTATGCTGTGAAGTCCAAATGTTGCTTTCACACAAAGTGTTGGTTTTTCTTTCCCACAAACCAGAATTCTAAAACAAGCATCTGCTTTCAGATGTCATGAGAAACTGTAGTTAGACTTCTGAAACCAGGACGTCTTTAGTCACATTGTGTGCGTTTGTTGAGGAGAAGGGAGCATAGTAAGGATAGCAGGGCCCCTAGCCGGTATCCCCAGGAGCATTGTGGGCAGGGTCTGGGATCTGGGGTGGAAATGTCATTTCTGGCCTGGGCATTTTCACCTGCTGCTCACAGGAACGAGGGCGGAAGGGAGGGCCCAACCACTGGGAGGCCTCGTGCCAAAAGTAAGGATATGGCGAGCAGACATGTGAGCCATGTCTAACCATTAATTAGTTTTTGTTCATTTGCCACATCTGAACAAAGCCCAACATGTAGTACTTTGATATGTTGGTAATAATTGTTGATTCTGACTTGAATGTTGAGTAGCATGAGTGAAGTCTCAGTGGAGGGTGGAAAGTTTACTATGGCCCTTCTTCATCTACAGCCGTAGTTGTTTCCCCTGAGGATCAGTGGACCTGAAAAATAGTATAGGGAGAAAATTAGGAGTCAACAACAGGAAAGGAGAATCATCAGAAATCTCCTTCCCCTCTTCCACATACACAAGTGGAAAAGCGATTCTGTTGGGGGAATTGTTGCTTCACTAATGGCTTTTGGATTAAAGCCATTTACAGGAAAACCACAGCTCCCTTGAACATGAAACAAAAGTGAAAACATGCTCACTTTAGGGATTCTTTGCTGTGTTCAAGGGAGGGACTGTTAAATTTGCATTACAATAACAGGATGGCCTAATTGCTTGGGAATGTAAAGTATATAGGAACACTGGGGCAAAAGTTTTGCCTTTCTCTTCATGGGGGATTCAAATGCCATTTTATCCTCATAGCAACCCTGTGAGGTTGATTAGAGTGGGAGTGTGTGACAGACCCAAAACCTCCAGCAAGCTTCCATGGCAAAACAGGGATTCAAACCAGGCTCTACCAGATCCTATTCCTGTGCTGTAAACCCTATACCAGGGGTGTCAAACATGTGACCCAGGGACCGGATCAGGCCCCCGGAGGGCTTCGATCAGACCCGCAGTGGAGCTGGCTGTCTTCTGCTTCTTCTTCCAGTTCTGCTGCTGCTGCTGCATCATCGTAGGTTTGCAGCTTACAGATACACACCTGAACAGCATACTCAAGATTGCAACAGCACAGACATTTTGATGCAATAATTCAGAGCAAGAGGTGTCAGTTATCAGACAGTGTTAAATAAAATATTGCAAGAGTGCTAATGTTTTAAGCATGTTTTATTTTAAGTTTTTTAAAAAACCCTTTGTGTTTGTGTCCTTTATAAAGTTTATATCTCCGCTACCTGGCATTAGATTTTATGACACACATGGCCCCGCCCATCAAGGTCTCATTTTTGTCAGATCCGGCCTTGATTAACAAATGAGTTCGACACCCCTGCCCTACACCATTCTGAATGCACTAAGACGTCAGCAGCTACATTTTAACAAATAAAGATGTCAAATCTCTTTGACTAGAGTATTATGCTATTTTAAACTGTTGGTGCACACGCTTTGTTGGTCATTGTAGCCATCTATTATTTGTAATCACTAGTATGATGCACGGAGAGTACAAGGAAGGTGCTGGATTTTAAGTAAGACTTTGTGCTGTACTTTAGAAATTTTGAGTGCCTCCTGGGGTGTGTGAAATCACAGATGACTGAAGGTCTGCTTGACAAATTGGAATGCAATGATGATTGTGCTGTGCATAATTTTTTCCCCCTAAACAAAGCAAGCCTTAACCAATTAAACCTGAAAAAGTAATGATTGCACTTTGAACTATGACTTGTGTTTCCTTTTCAGGTGATATAGGAAACTATTATTATGGGCAAGGACACCCCATGAAGCCTCACAGGATTCGTATGACACATAACTTATTGCTAAATTATGGTTTATACAGGAAAATGGAAATTTATGTGAGTATACCCATGCAGTTTTATCATTTAAAAGTGGATGACTAGTTACGAAATACAGTTGGTCAAATATATTTTACATATACTAGTTTTGAGAAATTTCCAGTAGTTTTGAATTTCAGGTTAACCATGGTGTTACCAATGAAAAGAGAGGCAATTAACCCAAGCAAACACAGTTACACATTGCTGAACTAATTGTATCACATTTTAGGTTATTTATAAAGTTTCGAAACAATGAGTTGGATTCAGCACAAGAAACCTAGTGAGGACCACACAAAGATCATTGATCTTCTTGGATTTCTTCTTTTCCCAACAGCCATTTCCAGCCACGTTTCCTGGGATCATCACAGGACATGCATGCAGTAGTAGCTACGTTGGTCAGGGGAAAGGGGGCAACAGTCATTCCGTTCTCCTTCTTTCATAAACAGAGCTCTGCTCATACAAGAGGCAGGAGAATAGGATTTCCCCCTCCCCCCCCCCCCCCCCCCCTAGAGTTTTACTGTGTGAACTGGCAAAATCCACTTTGAAAGTGCACTAAAAGTGGATTTAAAGTGGATTACTTAGCGTGTGTGGCAGCAGCCAAAATAAGGTTTTCCAGTGTCAGAAAGGACTGCTGCAGGGAGGGGAAGGCCAGGCAGATATCAGTGCCTTCTGTTGGTGAATCATATGATCCAACCCAGAAAACGATTAATCTCCCAGATCCTTCTTTCATTGGCCAGATAAAGTAGGACATCTATGGAAGTATTCTTGACTATTGTGGGGAAGTCTTAAAAATGATAAGTAGAACTTTCATTATATGACCTTGGTCTTTATTAGTTAATTTGAGCAATTCTGCTTTGCGGGAAGGGTGGGGTACAAATTAAACCAATAAATAAATATAGTATTTCAATCAGTTAGTTGAAACATCTGGTAGAAGTTGTTCTGTTTCTAAGAAAAATGGCCGTCTTTATTTAATGGCTCATTTCCCCCCCTTAAAGATGCCTGAAGTTTGATTCGGGCCTATGCAATGAAAATGACATTGCTAACAATCACTATTTCCCATTGATTAAGGTCATGGAAGTTTATATATCTTGGAAAAATACCTATACAAATCTTGTGAAATACTACATTAAAAATACATTTGGAATGTATTTGGATTTGGAATCTAAATATTTCATTTGAGGCAAGAAAGATATGTCCTGTGGAAATATTTGGCTGGATCCAACCCTATGGATAGCAAACATAATGTTGAATTAGTTCTTACCTGATGTATATATTGTCACAACCTTGTGGTAATTATAAAAACCATGCAAGAACTACTGTGCTATTTAGGAATGTGAAAGAAACAAAGCTGAAATATTTTACCAAATGCCAATATAATATGTAATCAGATTTGTTTAAATAGGAATATTTGCAATATTGCTACAACCTTTTCTTTATTGGACCCATTTTATTCACCAGCGGCCCCACAAAGCTACAGCAGAAGAAATGACCAAATACCACAGTGATGAATACATTAAATTTCTTCGCTCAATAAGACCTGACAACATGTCTGAATATAGCAAACAGATGCAAAGATGTAAGTTTGTGTCGTGAGCTAAATACAAACACTTTTTAAGAAAACCTTTTTCCCTCACAAAGCATAGATTTTTTTTTGGTAATCTGATGAACAAAAAAGTATCTAAACATTTAGATCTATAAATGGCATTCAAATGGCATAAATGGCATACAAAGATCCATAAATGACATTCCTTTTTTCTGGAGCTTGATTTGTAATGGAGGAAATGTAAAATCTACTCCTTTTGCCTTTGGTATTATCATTCTGAATTGTTACCTGTCTGTTACAAGGCTTGGTTTTACAACTGCTGCAGAGGTAATGCTGCCTGATTGCACTGAAGATTGGAAGCACCCTCTGGGCACTCATCCTTCCTGCTCAGACTGGCATCTTCTCCCCCCCCCTCACCATTTAGCATTAATTATGTTTCAATATTATGCCTGTACTAGTATGATCATGATTAACTCCAGCCATAAACTTTCTCCAGCTCTTAATCCAAATGGTGAAACTAGAAATTGCTTTCAGGCTTCCATTTAAAGGTGAACTAATTGCAGTTTATTTAATGCCAAGGGAGAGGAAGGAGTGCACAACCTCAGTGGGGGAATTGCGGTTTAGCAGCTGGCTAGTATTACACGTGATTTGGCCTTACTATCAAATGTGAATCAACCGAACGTACCTGCAGAGTGTTTTGCTGCAGTTTAGAATAGCTGGATATCAGAGAGCAGCAATGGGGAACAGCAGCAGTATTAGTGTTATGAGTTAATTTGAACTAGAATGTTAAATTACAACTTAAAGTGGTATTATACTTGCAGAATACCTAATGAATTAAAGAATTGTGTTGTTAATTAAATGTTCTATATTAATTAAAAGAAATTAAAGTATAAGAATTGGTAGTTGCACATTTGCTGAAACATCACAAGCTATAGTTCGTATACAGTGCTGCTGTAAATGATGAAAACATTCAGCTAGAAAGTGCTCTAGTTACTAAGAATGTATATATATGTAACTAAACTGTTTTGCCAAATTTCATAGGTGTCACAAAGCTAAGTTTAATTGCTTCCTTCTGCTAATGAAATATACAATTATATAAATGTTGGCTGTATTGAAGATTTTTTAAAAATATGAATGTATGCTTTTGAACAACAACACTTTAATACTGATAAAAATTGTCTTACATAGTTAATGTTGGGGAAGACTGTCCTGTGTTTGATGGATTGTTTGAATTCTGCCAGCTGTCCACAGGAGGCTCTGTGGGTAGGTATATCCTCCTCAGGATTAGTTTTTGATCTATTAACTTTTAAAGGGCTGTCAAAGAGAATAAACATTTTTGACCATTGTCTTCTAAATCTTCTGCATAAAGGTATACTAACATTTGAAGTTGAAGTAATTAAAAAATTCTAGCAGTGTTTTTATAGCTTCATTGAAAGTGAGGAGGCTTGAATAAAATACACTTCACTGAAAGAACATGTAAAATGTCTGTTGAAAATTAGTGATTCGTTGTATTGTATGTCATGTTTTGCCCAACTTTAGAAGACTCTAAAAAGTCATTTAAAATCCAGATTAGAGGCATGATGAAAATTCAGAGAAGTTACAATGAAACAATTATTCATGTTTATGACAGACAACAGAGGTTGTCTGTCGTTATGTTGTCTGTCTTCATCTTTACTAGCGATTTTAAAACTATATTTTTCTCCTCAATGGTTCTTTAGCTGGAGCAGTAAAACTGAACCGGCAGCAGACAGACATGGCTGTTAATTGGGCTGGAGGACTTCATCATGCTAAGAAGTCCGAGGCATCTGGTTTCTGTTACGTCAATGATATTGTGCTTGCCATTCTTGAATTACTGAAGTAAGTTCATGCTGAAACTACAAATGAACTAAATCTTGTAGAAAAGGTGGACTGTGGTCTTCAGGTTACCATTGATCTGATATTTCTTGACAGTCACACCTCACACACAGTTTGAAGGGGTTTATGTTAGAGATTCTGACATAATGTTCATTATAAAACAATCTTAGTTCTAAAGCTGTTCAATAACAATGTATCAGGTAAATATAGGTATATTTTTATTTATTTATATTCTAAGGTTTCTTTTAAAAGCGAAAGGGCAAACTAAAAATCACTTTGTGGGACACACACATGAACACATGAAGCTGTCTTATACTGAATCAGACCATTGGTCTCTCTCCTGAAGACTGCGATATCCAATCTTGTCTGTGTCTGCTGAGGTGGTAGACTAGCTAGCTGTAAATTGGTCCTTCACTGCCACTCTTTAAAGTCTTGTCTTTAGTGCTGCTAATTTGTTGGGGAAATGGAAGAGAGCCAGGGGCAATCTTCTGGCACCAGCTACTCTTTTTGGTTTTCCGAGAGAATGTAGTGGGTTTCATTGGCGCTGCTTTATTAAAGGCTGCCTGTTTTCCCTCCTCAGATACCACCAAAGAGTACTGTATATTGATATTGATATCCATCATGGTGATGGAGTTGAAGAAGCATTTTATACAACAGATCGTGTTATGACAGTATCATTCCATAAATATGGTGAATATTTCCCTGGTACAGGAGATTTGAGGGTAAGTTCAAACATAAACATACAATTTGATTAAACTAGCATCTTGCAAATGTCTTTAAACCTGATTCCCATCTTAACATCTTTTTTCTATGTAATTGCTATTAATAAACATATCGAAAAATCTGTGAGTAGCCACTTTTTTATATTTTTAACAATACTATGACTTAAGCTGAGCATAACTTGTCCGCTAGTAAACGTCATAGGTGGGAGGAGATTTAAATTTGGATTAACTACATCCAAACCCATCACACTGTAGTTGCTGCACCACACTGCTGTCACAGTGGTTGGCTTCTTTTTTTTCCTTTTAAAATGTTTATTAAGAGGAGGTATAACATATCAAAACATATAATAACTGCAAAACAGTATACAAATGTCCTGAGAATCCAAAATTACAAACCAACCAGTTAATCACCATTAAAAAATTTTACAACATACATCAACAGTCTTAACAAACTAAGTTAGTACTAAATCCGATCACCTATACATAGATGCTGTGTGAGCTATGAATCCCATAGAATTGAGTCAAGTCTTGGCATTGTGAAGTTACTACCTGGTAAATTTACAGCTTTCAAATTTCAAGGGGTATTTTGTTCGAATGTTTCCCTTGCATGATAAACGTGTAATATTTACCATGCCAGGAAAAGCCAGTAAAAATAAATTCACTATATTAACGTAAATACTAGCTGTCACATTGGCTAGATATACTAACTTCTCTCAGTTTTATTTTGCTTTTATTGTTGTTTTGTTTATCACTCCTTGCCCAGTTTTTGTTACATTGTAACAGGCTTTGGCCATATAAAATAAACTTTACCTGTACTAAATGTTTTTTGTCAGCCTGCATTCTGGTTAAATGCTACTAATAGTGTATTAATTTACATAGAATTTTGGGGTCTTTATGTCAATAACACAAAAGTAATCTTTGCAGAAAAAAAACAGTTTTCAAATGCAATGGAACCTTGCTGCGAGATTATATTTGCCACTGATAGGATCCACCACTTGGGGTTTCAGACATATCTGAGGAAACCAGTTACCCCAGCCTCCCAGTACACTATGATTTTGTTTAAGGCAAACCAGTAGGGTTAATTTAGAATATGTACTGATGCATACTGATATTTCACTGAGGCAATAACAATACTATGCTGTTCTTACATAAAAATGTTACAATTGTTAGGGAAATTGATACATTTTGTGCGAATAAAAAGAGAATGACAATATGAAATGAACTTAATTACTACAATAATAAATCAGATATTTAGGAAATAAAAATTTAAGGTGAATTTTCTCTTAATAGAGTCAGATTCCTAATTTCCAAATGATTAAAACAGTCTTTCTTGGCTTGTCCAGAACTAAAGCAAAATACAACCTAATTTACTTGTTCCAAATAGACAGAAGTATCCCTTTATTCAAGCACTCCTTTCATAGGAATGAACCAACTAGCCAGCTCTTTGGCCTTCCTTGTACTGGCAAAATATTCAAATTTTAATTAGTAATTAAATTGCTGAAACTGATAAAAAAAGTAGATTTGATCACTACACAGCTGGTTATAAGATAATCAGCCATCTATACATGAAAGGTAAAAAACCTAACAGCAGCTTTAACAGTATGCATCTGACTGAACGCTGTCTGTTCCTGTGCCAATTCGACCTTTATGTCACAACGGGCATTGAGCCTGGAGGAAATGTTAAAGAAAATTGTAAAGTAAGCACAGTTTTAGCAGCTGGCCTTCACACTGAAACTGGCTAAGTACAACCATTTATTACAGCTTTCAGATCTATGAACAAAACTTCCTACATAACACAATATGATTTTGAAACTTATTCTCAAAAAAATAAAGATGGTTGTGGTGATACAGCATTTTAACACAGGCTATTTTAATTGCATAGTTGCTTGGTTTAAAATTCTTTTCTTTGTAAATCATTGTGACAGCAGTGTGGTGTTAGATCCTAGATGTATATCTTACACATACTTTTTCATGAGTAATTTGTATTATTTCAGGCAATATTTATGTAAAGATACATTATTAGTTGAACAAAAAACATAAAAGTAGCCAAAATACTGGGCAGGTTGCAATGGCACCACATTGTTAATTACAGTGCTATCTATCCAGTAATGGAAGGCTCTGTTTATATTGCAGTCATTTAAATAAGGTAGGAAAAGGTAGTAAATAAAGGAAAAGGTAGTAATTTAATGAATGAAGGAAATGTGAGCAAAATCTTCAGTTCATTGGGCAGGAAATATAAAAAGTGAAAGGTAGGGTGCTATTTGGGGCCAAATCCAGCTGCAAAACCTTGCAACCTCAGAACCATTTATCATTAATAGTGCCTGCATTGGCTTCCACAGCCTAACTGAATGCCGAAAAAAAAAAGCCGAGACCCACAGTATATACTTGGTTGAGTATCCTTGTTCGGGACTGTAATATTACAGGGTACATTTTCCCCCCCTCATAACAGTGTGGAAAGCAGACTGTCAAACATCTGTAGAAATTCTTGTTAAACGTTTGCAATAGAACTGCCAATAGAAACATTCCACAGCTTAAAAATTTAAGTATTAATGCAGGTATGCATATATATTCTAACCTTCCATTAACTGTGGGTCTAAATAAATGTATAATACCCTAGGCAAAGCCCAGAGAAGATTTGTGTTTTTCCAAGAGCAGAAATCAATAGATATTCTTGTTTAAGGTAGGGGTTTTTTTGCCAATTATATTGACACTTAAGTGGCCTGCAGAAAGGCTAGAGCACTATTATGTTGCCAGTTTCATACTGCCTGGATGTACTTAATTGGACAGTTAAGTTACATTCTGGGATAGTAATAATGAGCATTTTTTCACTGTACTTCTTAGAAGCACGTTAGACCAATAATGGATTAATTAAATGCTTAGCTGTTAGCAACAGTACCTATTTTTGTTGTTGCTAGGTACTGAATTCATTTTTCTTTTCAGTGGGCATTAAACATACTACCTTTGAGATAGCTTTTATATTTGTTTGATCGACCACAAGATGGTACTATTGCTTCATGCTACACATATGTGAAATAACATTTTTAAGCACAAAAAACCTTAAGGGGTCATTACATATGGAATTTTGTTTCCTGATTTTTCAATCATTAGGCTTGAAAGTAACCTTTAACATTAATGACTGGGTAAAGCAGACATGAGTACATATATTTTCCATGTTGTGAGGGCATAGTAATGTAACAGGCCAGTGTCCCATTGAATATTGGTTTTTGTACATTGGAGAGCCTGATGTGGCTGATGAAGAAAAGGACCCTGTGGTTTTGGATCTTTTGACACATTTTTCTCTTCATTTTCTAGTTGTGGAATAGTAATGAGGGCATTTGTTAAAAAGTAATTTACTACACATGTCAGCTCTGCATTGAGCCATTTTCTGTTTTTAAAAGTTATTGTATCATTAAAAAGCACAGAAAGGTGCAGAAATTTAAATTTCATGGTGTAATGGAAGGAACTCCTGCAAGACACAGTACTTTAAAACACGGTGTAGTAAAAGAGAATGAAGTGCTGACATGTCCATGCAGGCAAGCCAGATGTATCTGAAGTGGGATGTGCCCCACAAATCCCAGTGGCACAATAAGTTCATTGAGCTTACAGGGCTACAGGACCCTTTGCTGTCTTTACTGCAGTGAACTAACATGTCCATCTTGCTGGCAATAATGTGGTATAATTTAATGTTGTGTCTGTGCAATGTGTCTTTCTTTGTACAGGAACCAGAATACCTTCTTTCCTTACCTGAAAAGACACTAGCTGTTATGCTTCTTAACAGATTTGTGGGATCTTAAAAATCACTTTTATATTGTAAATACTGATGGGTGGAGAAATATTGAATGTTTTTGCATACTTCATTTAGTGAATTGTGGCATGTTTTTTATAGATGTAATAGCATGTGACTTTACGGATCTGACCGAGCAGGCACATGACATTACACCCTATTCCCAGGTAATTGGGTATCCTTTAAAATGAATCTGTATTACACTATCCCCACTTTTGGTGAAAAAGAGTGAGCGCATCTATTTTTTTTCTTTCAATGACTCCAAGCCACACTTGAATGAAACTGAAGAAATTAAAACAATCTTAATTTTACTTTTGGGTCTGATTCTTTTGTATGGTCACATGTCTATCCTTCCATTCTACTGGTATATTTCCTTGTGCATTGATTTCTTCTCTACTGCACAGATCATATGCTTTATCTGAAGATTTAATCTGGAATATCTAACATATCCGGCACTATTTTTGTATAGAGTAATAATTTATTTATGGGTTTAAGTGCTTTTAAGTATTACAAACGGGTATACTGTATTGTGGCTTTTAATACGTTCAGTGTTTGTCCTTGTGTGTATTGTGTTTTTAGGACATCGGTGCTGGAAAAGGCAAATACTATGCTGTCAACTTTCCAATGAGAGATGGAATAGATGATGAGTCATATGGACAGATATTTAAGCCCGTGAGTAGATTCTAAATCTCATTTAAAATGTAAATATTTTGAAGCTAAATTAAAAATTGTTCATAATTTCTGCTAATTTCTGCTTCTTTACAGATTATATCCAAAGTGATGGAGATGTACCAGCCTAGTGCTGTGGTATTACAATGTGGGGCAGATTCACTGTCTGGTGACAGACTGGGATGTTTTAATCTTACCGTTAAAGGTAAAAAACAGGGAACCATTTTATAACTATTCTGTATGCATGAAGTTGGTTTGTTTTTGAGCTACTACTAAATGTGGGAGGGTTGAAGCTTTGGTCCTCTCAAATTATTTTGCTTAATATTAAGATATGATCCTGAAGAACCCCAGACACATTCTTCTTTTCCAGTTGGTCTGGATGGCTCTGGTCAGGCCTGATTCAGGTATAGGCATGTGCTTAAGAAACCTTCAATGTTTTGTTAACTTTTCTGTATCAGATCATTTAATTCCTGGTAAGATGTACAGTGCAACAGCATTTTGGGCTTGTTATGGGTATAGTACACAAGTAATACTAATACAGAATCCTTTTTTCCAATTTTATCACCACATAGCTATTTGTATTTTTAACATTAACTGAAGAAAATTATACCATCCATTACTGCTGCATAGACAATTAAAGGATAGCAATTATAGGAGTCTGTAAAAATACCTAAATATAAACTGATTACAGGCAAGGACCTCCTTCTAAAAAGAAGACCCCAATGAATTCAGCTTCCTGTTATTCATAGGTTTTTAAAATTGTCTCCTAACAATAGCTAGCTGTCCCACTTGATAAGGGTGCACATTCTTGGCTAACGAATTCTCTTATAAATTTAAACATCATACAAAGTTATCTATACTTGAATATCTTCTTAAATATTAAAAACCTGTTAGATCATCCATGCTACTTTTTATTATTATAACAGTCTACTTTAAAATGTCTGTGTCAAAAGTGCTACAACCAAACAAAGAGAGAATCACAGAAACAACTACCACAAATAAGAGCAAACCGTGACAGACTAACTAATAATAATTACTTCCAAAAGCATTCTGGTAATTTTATATAATTTCCACATAAATAGTGCAAAACATGCCAAGTTATTCAGTGTGTAGCATAGAAAAATACAATCTCAATTTGGTATTAATTCAAAAAGATTCACTCAATAGTGTTAAGTCCTTATTACAAAAATTAATAAAAGGGAAGAGTCTCCTAAGGAGTAAGTGATGCATTCAGTATACACAAATCCTATTGAGAAGCATCCTGCATTCAAATCAAAGCAGCTTCAAATCCTGTTGGTAACCGGGCTGCGACACAGATGCCTGCTTGAAGCTGTGTTTTGACAGACTTTTTCACGGCAGCAAAAGTACATCACATTCCTTTCAAGTTGATAGCTGCAAATGTACATAAGAAAATTTCTGATCCTGCTCCGATCCTGCACTGAATAACTTGGCATGTTTTGCACTATTTATGTGGAAATTATATAAAATTACCAAAATGCTTTTGGAAATAATTATTACTAGTTAGTCTGTCACGGTTTTCTATTTGTGATGTGTCTAAAGTGCTGTCAGGTCGCAGGCAGCTGACTTATGACAACCCCATAGGGCAGGGGTGTCAAATATAAGGCCCGGGGGCCAGAACTGGCCTGTCCAGGGGTTTTATGCAGCCTGTGAGCAACTAGTGCAAGAGAGGGAACAGGAGACTGCTCGGGGCAGTGGGTGGAGCCACTCTGATTGTGGCTTCAGCACAGCAGAATAACCTCATCTGCAGCAGTCAAGCAGTATGGGAGCATCTGGCCAATGCTGCCCCACTGGCTTTCCAGTCCATCCATATGGGTTTTTCTTTGCACCCCCCCAGCCCATGGGCCTTCTAGTGAGGTTACAACAACTTGAAGCTTACCAGCTGCTGTCCTTTATATAGTTTATATCTCTGGTACCTGGCATTACTTTTTATGGCACACATGGCCCAGCCTGACAAAGTGGCATTTGTGTCAGATCTAGCCCTCATAACAAATGAGTTCAACACCTCTACCATAGGGTTTCAAGCTAAGCAGAGGTGGTTTGCCCACAGTGCCTTCCTCTGCAGTCTTCTCAGGTAGTCTCCCATCCAAGATCCTGCGTACCTTCTGTGATCAAGCTATTCTTTACCATTCCACCATCCTCTTACTTAAAAGTAGTGATTACAGATTTCTCATACATATTAGTTCCTTTTGACCCTCAACCAGTACACTCCATCTTTGAACTGTATCTTTGTTTCTGTGAAGCTGGACATTCTTATCATTCTCAGACACTTTTGCCTATGGCCCTCATCAAATAGTATCCATTGGTATGGGTTAGACAGTTTCTAACCTACAAAAGGCCATGTTACTGTGTTACTCCTTTGATTCTTACTCTTCTCAGAGGCTATTCTGTTCTTGGTCTCTAGACACCTTGTTTCGCATGTTTAGCTGAGAGGCTGGGCCAGCTTTTTTTCCTGCTTTGCAGAAACACCTTCCATGATCTTTTTGGTCAAGACCAGCAACTGTTCCCGCATATTCCTAGCCATATCCATGATACAATGTTCCTATAATTCCTGGTGGTCATGTGGTGCCTTGCTTTAGCTAGTGTTTTCCTACAGACAATTCTAAGCATTAGCCTTTCGCATATTTCATTTTGTTCATAATCATGTATCTGTTTTCTTTCTCTCCTTAATTTCCCCCAGTATATTCCCTTTCAGTTGAATTCCAAAGGGATGGGTCATACATTCAGTTTGGTCACTATATAGCAGGGGTGGCCAAACTGTGGCTCTTTCACACATATTGTATGTCTCCCAGCAGGCTCTCCATCTATTTGCGCTCTCTCTCTCTCTCTCTCTCTCTCTCTCTCTGTCTCTCTTCCTTTCTTCCTCCCTTTCCCTCCCCCTATTTGCTTTCTTTGTTTTTCTTTCTCTTTCTCTCTTTCCACCTCTTTCATTCTTTCTTTCCACCTCGCTCTCTTTTTCTCTTTTAGACAAATAAATATCATTAGCAAATGAATAAACACCCTTATGAATATCTGTTTCTACCCCTTTTGCTTTTATTTTCAGCAGTCTCATTTAATGTTAATGAAAACCAAATTCACATATTTTTCAATAAAAATGTGTGTGTAATATTTGTTCATGTCTTGTGGCTCTCAAACATCCAATGTTTATTCTGTGTGGCTCTTACATTAAGCAAGTTTGGCCACAACTGATATATAGCTACTCCCATCAAGTGATGACTTGCATGCAGAAATGGGCCCTCACACATATTGGCACCATGAATGGTTCACAGATGATGGTGGTTCACATTGAACAGTGATGGTTGAGGAGTGAGTGCACACCATTCTATAAAACGTATGTGTGAAGCACATGGTTCATATAAAGTTATGGACACGTGATTGCACAGCTTTGCGATATTTTAGATCTCAGTTGTACGCAATCAAGTGATGCATGTACTTATCAGAACCAGCCTCAAAACAAGGCATAACACATGAAATCTAGATTGCCAGTATTTTGCTGTAACTGCATCAGTGATACACGCTGCAGTCATGTTATGAGTAAATTATAGAATCATTAAGTTAATTGTGGTTAAGCTATGTATGCATCTGCCTGCTTTTATGAGAGCTGCAAGGAAATCTTTCTATAAATTGCTGTCATAAATGCAAAACAAAAGCAGATTCAGAAACTGAGATGTTGCATCTGTCCTAGTCTCACTCTGTAGTTCTTACAATTTCCCTGATTGTGGCAGGCCATGCTAAATGTGTGGAAGTTGTGAAGACTTTCAACTTGCCTCTTCTGATGCTTGGAGGAGGCGGATATACCATCCGTAATGTTGCTCGCTGTTGGACTTATGAGACCGCTGTTGCCTTAGATTGTGAAATTCCTAATGGTAAGTTTTGGGGAGAAGTATCATAGCCAACTCAGAGAATTGCAAGTTTCCTTACTGCCTTTAGTAAAAGCCTAAGTGAATACACCACTTGAGGCAGCTTTTAATAATCAGATATCTGATTTTAGCAGCCCCAAATAATCTTGCATTGTGTTCATGTTCATAAAGTATGCAGATAATTCACCTTACTCCTGGAATATTCAAATGATATCAAGCTCCTATTTTTTGCAAATAACTAGTGAAAAAAACTGGTAAACATTGCATGTCCCTTTGAAGTGCATAACTTTATGTATACAGTACATCAAAGTAGGTAGTTAGTAAAGTAGAAGGTGGTCATGTATTGTAGAAATGTAAATAATGATTATGAAGCAAATCTTTGTTATTAAAAAGAGTAACCCTCTGCTGCGCTCTTTGATTCTTTTCCTTTCTGTTTCTTGGTGAACCATAGTTTTTCATTGCATCCAAATCACATTTTGGTTTGTGGGTTGCATGAATCTTTCTTGCCTGTTTCAGATGTAACGTATTTGGATAGGGGTATGCAGAATACTTTGATTAACACTGTGAGAGGCCCTGGTCTTAGATAAAACATTATTTCTCTGGGAGTGAGGCCATAAAACAGCTCAGATTCCAGGCTGAGAGGAGATTAATTTCCTTTATGGAGACAATTAGGCAGAATGGACATGGCCATTTGCTCACCTGCAAAGAGGGGGCAAGAGAGGTGGCTATTTGGATTGCCTGAGTTGGGCCATGAATGTTTTTGGGATGTGTGTGTGCCTTAATTTGACAGGTGAAAGAGTAAACATCCACTCCCAACTTCATGATAGGTTAATGTGAAAGTCTCCCAGTTCAGACGGGAAGGGTTAAAAGATCTAGACACCTTTTCAGAACTGCGCGACCCAAGATCTGGAGAACAAAGGGAGAAACAGTGATGTGTCTCTTGACTAGTATCTGTTTTCAGTGTTCAAGTGGGCTTGTGTCCATTCCAAGGAAATGCCAAGGTCACATCAGAGACTGTGCAACTTAGTTTCGTGGTTTTTTGCATTCTTTTTCTTAGCTCTGCAACACATTCTGGTGATTTGACACACTTTCCCAATGCTCAGAGCTCTCACTCAAGGTGCCTGAATACTCAGTCCATACAGGCTAGAGACTCCTGACTGGGCTACAGTCAAGTTAGCTGGCCAGAGGGAAGAGGTTGTGAAACAAACACACACAGCCTCTATCTGTGACTCAAGCCACAGGTAGAAAGAGGAAGGGCACAGCTTGAGTGGTGGCGTGTTGCCCCATACAGGAAGGAAAGGGGTGGCAAGTGGGGCAAGACAAAACTTTCTCTCACACGTACTGCAGTATTGGTTAAGTGCGCGGACTCTAATCTGTGAGAACTGGGTTTGATTCCCCACTCCTCCACTTGCACCTGGCTGGATGACCTTGGACAAGCCATAATTCTGGCACAGCTGTTCTTAAAAAAGAGCAATTCCTATCAGAGTTCTCTCAGCCCCACCTACCTCACAGGGTGTCTGTTGTGGGGAGGGGAAGGGAAAGGAGTTTGTATGTCGCTCTGAGACTCCTTTGGGTAGTGAAGGGCGGGGTATAAATCCAATCTCCTCTTCTTCTTCTTCCCCTCCACCTCCCACACAAAGACAGCAGAGAACAAAGAAGCAGGTAGGAGTGGATTATTAGAACTGCAAACTGTGGTTAACTGAAAAAAAGGAAGTGAGGATACAAGGAGAAGATAAGCAAATGATGGGCAAAGTCACCCCCTGAACCTGCCTAAAATATTCATTAGAACAAAGCATGAGCTATTAGTGTGCAAATTTACAGTAAATAAATCAAGGAAATATCACTTTGACATAGTGACAGAGATCTTTAAAGAGCAGCCATAGATGGTTTTAATATTGGATTCGAAGAAGCTGTTGAAATTCCTTTTTTTTCTAAACAGAATTGCCATACAATGACTACTTTGAGTATTTTGGGCCGGATTTCAAGCTGCATATAAGTCCATCAAATATGACAAACCAGAACACTCCAGAATATATGGAAAAGATTAAGTAAGTATTAATATCCTAGTGTGAATATAGGTTATTGTAAAGTGGTGAATGACGGCAACTCTTCTAGACAATCCTTGAATAATTATTAATCCCCCCCCCCCTTCTTATCCTCATAGAGATCAGAAAATGTGAGGGCTTAATAAGATCCTGGACTGCCAGAACAGAAAGAAAACCGCTGTTTAAAAAGGAGTCAGGGAAAGTTTACTAGCCCAATTTGATAATGGATCATAAATAGTGATAAATCCTATCATAAAGTAGTAACTTTTCTTTCCAGGCAACGTTTATTTGAGAACTTGCGCATGTTGCCCCATGCTCCTGGTGTACAGATGCAAGCTATTCCTGAAGATGCGGTTCATGAAGACAGTGGTGATGAAGATGGTGAAGACCCAGATAAACGCATTTCTAGTAAGGAGGAGTCTAGTATTAGAAAATTCAATGTAAAATCTAAGCGGGGGTCATTTTGCAGTTCATTGTATACATTTATAGGAGTGCCTTCACTATGTATGCAAAGGAGGTAGGCAGAGGCACTTTCCCAGTGGGACTTGTGATCTGATGTTGATTCCCCCCCTTTACTCAGTCAAAAGGGCTATATCTGTTGTTGGCTATGCTAGCTGCTGCTGGGTGGGTAAACTCCACATTTCTGTAGAGCTGCCCACTACCTGTTGCTGGTCCCCACCACCTGTTTTGATGCTCCCCATCTCTGTTCTGTTGATGGGCAACTCTTCTGCTGCCCAATGCACTTGGACCTAGCCAGGTACTGTGAGAATGCTGCCAACTGAAGGCATCATGCAGTGGTGAGAGCGAGCACTTTACCCTTCATCTCTTCTTCAACCAGACACCTGTTCCCAGGAGCTGCAAAGTAGAGATCTCATCTGTTCCATACCCTCTTTAGTGTCTTTTTTCAGGAGCCTCTTGATCACTGTATGAGCAGTGCTGTACAAGGAGATGAAGCTCTCATGAGATAAGACAAGGTCTCCACTGCTTCTGGCTTGCAGTCCTTTTGGGGGGCGGGGGTGCACAAAGAAGGCTTTGCTCGTGGAGCTCCACAGAAAGAAGGCAAGCATGAGGCCTTACCGGCAGCCACTTCTTTGTTTCCTTTGGAAATGTAATACATTGTATATGAGCTGCAGAGCAGTATCTGGGAGGGGAAACCTGCTATAAGAACTAATAGAGAAACAGTCATCCTGAGCAAAGAATCTCTTAGACAGAAAGTCAACAGGAGCAATTTTCCCAGTTGCCCCAGTTTGTGAATTTCTGCCTAACAGACCACTGGCTGCCACACGTGCATTTGTCGTGCAAAATGGTCTGGGGTATTGATAAGTGTCCAGATGATGGGTGTAAATATCCAGGAGATTTTGAAGCCAACTATTGTTGTCTCCCCCCACATTGTTTTCTGGGAGAAAAACATGAATTTTGTGGGGAATTGAGATTATATGGAATACTTTCTTGCCAAAATTAGACTTAATGCATTCACATGAAATGCATAATTTATAACTTAGCATAAAATTGAACTATTTAGTATATTTGTAGAATTTAGAACCATAAATGCCTTAGGTTTTCATGCGCAGATTTATGAATATGCCCAGTACAAGAGAGAGAATTGCAAACTGATGTACTCTGTGCTGCATTATTCCATGCCATCAACCGTCTTACATTAAAAAAATCTTCAATCTGTGCAGTTTGAGTGAGTAACACCATGCTTTAAAAACATTTTACTTACTCCAAAAGAAAAAAAAGTACTTCAGAGCTCCCTAACTTTCCAATTTGGATTAAAAAAGAAATTGGGGGGGGGGGGAGTTGAGGTTAGGAAAGGAGAGTCCCTAGAATTGAAGTGGTGGCTTTAACTAATCCTGGAAAGAAGGCTGGTTTGTTACCACGTATGATGATTCTGTTGGATTTTTGCCTTTATGTTCTCATATGTAATTGCTGTAATGTTTTTATGCTCATCCAAATATTAAGTAGCTAGGTACTTAAGGAATAGTACATAATATTTCAGGCTGATTATGACTCTGGGTAAGGAACTTCTGTCCCACCTTTAGGTGGCTATTTCTTTACCACCTGATCAATATATTCCTGGAACTCAAGTAACAATATATCACAGCATATCAGTGGTATTATGGAACTGATCACATGTGAATGATTACAAATTAATGTTTAGCTTTGTTTTGCTTCCAGGAAAGGGATTAATTGGTCCAGGTACATATTGCAGCTGCTGCTTTGCAGTAAAAGCCAAAACTTTTTAGCTAGTCTCCCCTTTGGCTGTGACTTGGCTATTGAAACTAATGTATTTAGCACAAATTAATCATTATCAAAACTGCTTCCTCTGTGTCAGATGTCCTGGTCAAGCTCTGGCATGGTCCAGCTGGAAATGCTTGCTGTTGCTCTTAGTTATAGGAGAGAGACTCTTCCCTGTATACTGAAGTGTGTGCAAGAACCAAAGCATGCTCATTGCAGGCATACTGTAATGGAGAACTATCCCTCTGGCAAGTTTACACACAGCCACTGTAACACAGAATTTCTTACTGAACCGATTGCTGCTGTCAGGTGGAGAATCTTCACGTGATGGCTGCAATCCTTGTATATTGCAGAGGAGGAAACTTGCCATGGTTTCAGCCGCATTTCCTTGGTAGGAGAAGTGAACTCCGCTACTACAAAAAAATCTAGTGACAATGCAATGAAGAAAAAGGCAAGTGGGAAAGTAGTATCTGTTCCTCTTTTTTATTGTAGTTCGAGCATCTGATAAACGGATAGCCTGTGATGAAGAGTTTTCTGACTCTGAAGATGAAGGAGAAGGAGGGCGAAGAAATATTGCTGATCATAAAAAAGGAGCAAAGAAAGCCCGATTAGAAGAAGAGAAAAAAGAGACAGATGACAAAAAAGCAGGTAAATGGTGAATTTCTTTTTCTTTTCTTTTTTAATTTCCCTCTCCTAAAGAGGAGAGAAGTTTTGCTTTTACAATTCAGAAAATTGGGGTGGGTCTATAGAGGGATAAAGAAAAGTGTTGAGTGATGTTAAGTATTAGTATATTAGTCCTTTACTATTAAAGTTAAAGTCAATAGCTTCTTCTGTAGTTGGACGATCCTCTTTTCTTCTCTCTCTTTCAAAACCGAACAGTTAACATGTTAGTAATATTCTTTTGGGATTAGTATTACTTTTAAAGCATTATCCGAAATAGTCTTTAAACTTTGGGGTCTTTCCCTTTTTTGTCCCTCAAGTTGGGCCAGTCGCTCCTTTAACTTCCTCATCCTTCACCTCTCCCTCTGAGCTGCTGTCTTCTCCGCTGGCTCCCGACATCCACTTGGCAAGTTCTGCTTCTTCTTCTGTACTGGCGTGCCTCTTCAAAAAGTCTTGAGCCTTGAAGATAGAGTCTATCTTTTCTCTTCTGTCTTTAAATTTAAAGACCAATCCTTCGGGCACCAACCATCTGTAACTGACTTGATGACTTTGTAAGAACATGGTCAGTCCTTTATATTCCTTTCTTTTCATTCTGATTTCAAATGGAACATCTTTCAAAATCCTGATCGGTTGATCTCCAATTGTCAAGGATGTTGCTGAAACTGCCTTTAAAATCTGATCTCGGAGACGTTGCTTTGTAAATTTCACTACCACTTCCGCTGGCAACTTATTTTTCTTTGTGAAGTTGGAATAGGCTCTATAAACCAAATCCATCTCTTCTTTTATTTTCTCCACTTCATTGCCAGTCAGTGGTGCTAAGGCTGTTGCCAAAATGTCTCTGAGATCCTCTTTTTCCTCTTTCAACCCTTGAAATCTAAGGGTCAAATTCGCTTTCTCCATTTGAAGCAGTAACAATTTATTATCCTGTTTTTCTTGGTGCTTTTCCACTTTGATGACCTTTTTCTTAACTTTCTGTATTTCTTCCGTTGATGCCATAAATGGTGAATTTCTAAATTGAGCTATAGTGTCTGGTCTCTTTCGTTTACAACCCTAAGCATGCATAAGAACATAAGAGCCTGGTGGCTATATCGTCCAGCACCCTGTCTCAAATAGTGGTCAATCATTTGCCCTGGAAGGCAAATGGCATAGAGGCCACAGCCCTCTCCTGCTGATGCCTCCCGGCACTGATATTGGAGATTTGCTGCTTCTAGATATGGAGGCTCCCTTCAGTCACCCTGGCTCATGACTATCATTTCCTCCCCTGGCAGTGAATTACACCATTTAATTATTTGTTGAGTCAAGAAGTATTTCCCAACAATTCTCAAGAGAAAAGGACTTCCTGGGCATTCCTTCTCCCATAATCCCAGGAGGGCAAACACAACTTTTGTAAATACCTTCAAAGCTGAAGTCAGCTCGAAGGGCAGAGCCCTGAATTGGTAGTGATCTTTTCCCTAGGCAAAACTTAGATACTTCCTGCATGGAGGAAGAAACCTTCACAGTCAGTCCAAAATTCCTTTCATTGGGTGTTGCTGAGTTCTGGTATTATGAGAGAGGGTGAAAAAGCTCCCTCATACCATTTTCCCTCAGATGCATAACTTTATAAACCTGTATCGTCTACCCTTTAGCCATCTGTTTTCTAGACTGAAAAGTCTCAGACTCTCCATCAGTCCCTTATAGGAAAGTTGCTCTCAAGCCCTTTATCATCTTGGCTGCCCTCTTGGTTGGGTTTTTTTTTTTTTTTTGAGATAATGGGTAACAGAACTGCACACAGAACTCCAAACAAGGCCACACCCTAGATTTATGCCAAGGGTATTACAATATTGATAATTTTATTTTTCAGTCTCTTTCCTAGTAATTCCTAGCATGGAAGTTTGCTGTTTTCATTGCTGCCACATACTGCGTCAACGTATTCATTGAGTTTTCCACAATGACACCAAGATCTCTTTCATTCGCCATCTTAGCCAGTTTAGATCTCTGAACTTATACTTAAAATCAGGAATTTTTTTTCAAATAGGCATTTGCCATGTGGTTGTCCGCTTACCCAATTTATAAATATCCTCCTGTAGCTCTTCACAATCTGCATTGGTCTTCACTGTCTTGAATAATTTGATATCATCTACAAACTTGGCTACTACACTGCTCAGCCCCACTGGTCCCAATACCGATCCCTATGGAACGCCATTGCTCACTTGTATCCATTGGAAGTACTGTTGGTTTATTCCCACAGTCAGCTTCCTGGCATTTAACAAATTTTTAATCCATGGGAGGACAAGTTCTCTTATTGCATGATTGCTAAACTTACCCAGGAGACTTTAGTGAGGTTTCTTGTCAAAAGCCTTTTGGAAGTCCAAGTATATAACATCTACTAGATTGGCCTTTCAGATTCACAACCTAAGCCTGTTCAAAGAACACCAAGAGGTTTGTGAAGCAGGGCTTCCCTTTGTGGACATCTACTAGATTGGCCTTATCCACATGCCTGTTCAAAGAACACCAAGTGGTTTGTGAAGCAGGGCTTCCCTTTGTGGAAGTCATGTTGATTATCCCTCTACAGACTTTGTTTGTCCTTGTGCTTAATAATTCTTTCTTCAGTAACAGTTTCCAGTGATTTGCCTGAAAAGGATGTTGGGCTAATTGGCATGTACTTTCCTAGTTTTCCACATAACCATCCATGCCATGCCTCAGGTGGCACCCTGTAGCCACCTGAGTATCAAGGAACCCAACCAGATTCAACAGCACCCTTAGGTTGTGAATCTGAATCTTAACAGGGTGAAAGCCACCCTATCTAAACCAGGTTGTACTCCTACTCCAGGATTAAATGGATTCTTCGCCATCAGTTCTAACAGTTTATCTGGATTAGAGACCCAAATAATTAAATGGTAGGCATCCTTCATCCACGTTCTGGTAATAGCCATTTAGTAAAGTTTCTCTGAAACCGAAGTTGAAATACACAGGAAAAGTATATATATAACTGGAATCATTCAAGATTAGGTGGTACCATTTGTTCTAGTACCCAACACGAGAGATTTGAGACAGGTAAATAATTATATATACCCATAGGGTTCATAGGGATTCCTCAAGTATTTTTACCAATAGTTCCCTCAAGTTCACAGGTTCTCTTTCTTATGGAAGCATGAAGCATTGACCATATTTACTAACCAATGAGTCAGTTCCTCTGCTCCAGTATAGGCCTGGATTGTAAAGGATCTGGAAGTGATGGACATTGCATTTTCAGAGATCTTGTCCACAAGATTCAGGCTGCACAAACCAAAAAGGGTCCAGTACAGGACATAGAGAATCAGTAGTCCCATTCAGAACTGACCCTGTAGTTAATGTGTCCAGCTTGAAACGGATGTGGGCCATTTTATTAGCACTTATAAACTGGTTACGTTGATCTATTGAAGGTTTGCTCAACTTACCCGGTGAGCTAAGATATTATGGGCTCCTATAGCAGAGAACAGCTTTGCCAGACTACACTGCACAAATAGAATGGTGATGGTAAAATATGCATTCCATTCAGCTGTAACTATCACAGAGCATGTTCTAAGATGAGCTCTAAGTCATGTGTGGTTAGATTTTTCAGCAGTGGTCAAGATGTAATCCCTGCTGTTTCATTGTCCAAGCTCTTGGAATACCAAGGAGCTGACAGATTTTAGACAGAACCATTGGGCATTTAAGAGTAGAACCATCATACCATTCCAGAGCTTGATAAAGGCTTCAAAAGCATTAGAAGCAGGAAAACCTCAACATGCCAGGAAACCAGTTTGGTTCTATCAGTCTCCAACAGACCATCTTAATCAGTGTCTCCCGATTGTAGACGGTCTAACTCTGTGCTTGGTGGGCTGTCTTCAGTTTACCAGCTGGTGTAATGCAGTGACTGAAAGACTGATCTTCCTTTTGTGAAGAACTTAATATGTGGTCTTCAGCAAGCCATCTTAGCCTCAGCTTCCGCATCTGTAATATGGGATCAGTAATACTGACCAACCATACAAGTTTGTTAGGATAAGAAGATAATATATGGGAAGCAATGCTCCCTCTAAGCTGTGGAGTCTTGTGAGCTAAAACTCTACTTTGTGAGCTACTGGCATTAAAGTTGTGAGTGAACGATTTGGCTACTGCATAAATTAGTTTGCTCTGGAGCCATCCTTCCTGAACTAAGACAAAAATGTGTGAGCCGGAGGCTAAAAAACTATGAGCTAGGTCATACTAACTCAGCTTAGAGGGAACACTGATGGGAAGTGCTTTGAATTTTTAAAATGTAGGTATTTATATCCTTTTCCTACTGGGAACTAAAACTGACCAAAAAATATAATTTGGAAAAAGAAAACCAACACTTCGAAAGACTACACAAATGGGAAGGGCCTTGTAGAAGATTTCCTAAATCTTTCAGTATTTTCAGCTTTTTTAGACTATGTCTTTAACCTCTAACATTTGTTTTTGTTTTTTAAAAAGAATCTTAAAATTGGTAGATTCTTGCATCTGTGCAACTTTTGAAATCCTTTTATTAGGTAATTTTACTGTCATTTTGACTTGCAATATCTGAGTCAATTGTCATCTTGGAATATTTTTACTGTAAATTTGCCACTGTTCATTACTTTTAGATATTAAAGAGGAAGATAAATCCAAGGACAGCAGTGGTGAAAAGGCAGACACCAAAGGGTACGTAACCTGCACCTATTCTATAATGGGTTGCTGCTTCAGAACATTTGTTAACTTTTCAATTGTAATGATGCACCTATTTTCTATTATGGTTGACAATAAATCAGCGCTCGTAGCGTCTAAAGTGTATTATAATGTGTGCATTGCAAACTTCATTGTTTTAATGATCAGAAAATATAAAATAAAAGTGTAACCTTTGTTAATTATTGGATTTTTTCCTCCCTCTGAACAGAGCAAAGTCAGAACAGCTCAACAATCCTTGAATGAAAAGCCTCGCACCAGTTAAAGGACACAATATTAAAGTGGAAAAAAATTCTGAAAGAAACCTTTCATATGGGAAGAGACTGTTGATTTCATTTTTTACTATTTGGCATGGAGCATATTTATTTTCAAACAACTGTGTTTGGTTTTTTGGCAGTTGTATCGTGAGTTTTCTAATTATGATGCAAAATTTGTTCCTTCCACCAGGCTTTAAGTAATAGTATTTAAAATGGATGTGAGTTATTATGTTAAGCGTCTAATCTGATCTATTAAAATTTCCTGAGCTGATTTTACTCTTTTTTGTAATTATATCTTTATTAAAAAAAAATTGTACTTGGTCGTCTTGTTCATCATTGTGTAGTATGCATACATGGATACATTTCACAGTGATTGGGAAGCTGTGCTATGGAGGAATCATGAGAATTCTAGAAAAACAGAGTATTCTGATATATTTTAAGTACTGAATTATTTGAGAAATGAAGGGATGGGTTGTTGTTTTTTTAAAAAAGGCCTCTATATAATCAACTCTGATTTTAAATTCTTTTAGTTTGTTTCTCAACCACCTCTAATTGGACTTGCCTGTATAATGTGACCCAGCAAACTGTACAGACAAAGTCAGGTACTTAATAGTATCCTGTTCATGCCGCCTTGGACAGGCTGCAGATACCAGCCTGTTGAACCTGGGATGAAGAATAATTCACAGTAAAATCAATTCTTCCTTAAGCAATACTGCTCTACTCTTTAAAAAATCCAATTTGGGAAGTTTATGCATAAAACACAGAAAAATACATAACTTTCAGTGCTGATCTTTCAGATTCTGTTTGTAAAGCATATTTTAAAGACTGCTATCATGAACTGTGAAGAAACAAAGAATTTCTGGCTCCCCCTCCCCCTTTTTAAGGGTCTGATAGGGGTGAGTGCCTGCTATGGTAGGGAATGTTTTATGCCATGCATAAAATTACTGTTCAATCAAATCAAGTTCAAATACTCACTATATTTCCCTCCTTCACTTAATACCCTGCCTTTTTCCAAAGCAGGTTACATTGTTCTCCTCTCCTCCATTTTATCCTCACAACAATCTGTGAGGTAAAGTAGGCTGAGTGTGCGTGACAAGCTGAAGGTTCCTCAGCAAACATGGCAGATTGGGGCCAGTTTGACATAGTGGTTAAGAGGAGTGGACTCTAATCTGGAGAACTGGATTTGATCACCCACTCCTCCACATGCATCCAGCTGGGTGACCTTGGGTTAGTCACAGTTCCCTCAGAGCTGTTCTCGAAAGAGCACTTCTCGAAAGAGCTCTCTCACCCCCACCAACCTCACAGGGTGTCTGTTGTGGGGAGAGCAAGGAGATTGTAAGCCACTATGAGTGAAGGGCAGGGTATTAATCTAACTCTTCTTCAAACCTGGGTCTTCCAATTTGACACCAGTAGTTTATAAATGCTAGCTCCACCAAACGGATGTATTAGATACTGGCAATTGCAAGGTCCCAAGAGAATTAGATGATGAATTCAAAATGGGGGTGCATACAAAATAAGCACAAAGCAACATACCTGAATGTTGAAGTCTTACAGTCTGTCTGATGTGTTTGGATTTGCAGTCCTGGTAAGAGGTTTTCTCAATTATCCCTGCTTCATTTGCTATGCCAGTGATTGGCCTGAACTAGCACCAGAGCACAGAAATTCGGGAAATGGGAAATTTATGTGTTACAAACTGGCCAGAATAGAACTTTTGGTATGGAATTGGTTGTGTCTATGAGAAACATGTTTCTTACATGAACTTAAGATTTACTGGAGGTAGCTGATACAGTCAAATCTAAATATTAATGGAATTAATTCCATAAGTAATTCCAGATTTCTTGTGACGTTTCCCCCAAAATCAGCTGCAATATGTAAAGTTCAGGTTTGCGAATAATTGATCAGTACTGAAACTGGGGACTTTGTTTTCACTTTTGCACACAATCTGTGGTCCAAAGGGCCATACCTGTTTGGTACTATTTACTGTATCTCATTTGGATGATATTGCAGGACTGTAGCTATGTCCCCTCTTTTCATTGGATCACTGAAAGTGCTACAGTAGCAGAATCCTAGTTTCTGTTATGTGCCTCTTAGGTATCAAAACATTTAGGAGGTGTACAACATTCATTAGAGTTTTTCACAAAATAAAAGAACTACAAAGTGAACAGAACCAGTAGCACAGCTGAAAAACAAATTATTCAAGTTCCACCCAAAGCCAGAATAAGTAAGAATGTTTTTTTAACTGAAGCTGAAAAATTAACAATGTGGAAGTCAGGTGGATGTTTCCTTAGGTATCCTGAGTCTGGACTTTGAAGCCCAAGAGAATGGTTTGTGTAATATATTTAAACTAAGAATAACGCTGATTGTGGAAATAAATACAACGAGCTCTAGAAACAAGCTCTGGGAGAGTGCCAAGGCCTTGGGCACTCAGTGTCAATTTGCTGTGGCGACCTCAAACCCCACGCTCTCCAGGCTCCACCCCTGAAATTCCCAGGAATTTCCCAACCTGGAGTTGGCAACCCCATCCCCTTCCCAGCTAACTATCAACCTACTGTTATCTGCCCCTCTGACTGCAGCTGACTTCTGCCCTCTCTCTTGGAGAGCAGTTGTAATTCTGAGTGATCTCCACCCCTCACCTGGAGATTGGTGACAATGGTTCCCCAGGAGAAAATGGCTGGTTTGGAGGGTGGTGTCTATGACAAACCTCACCCTCTCCAGGTTCCATCCCTCAAATCTCCAGGAATTCCCCACCTGGAGTTGGCAACCCTATCTCCTTCCCAGACAATCATCAACCTACCTTTATTTCCCCCTCTTCAGCTTTCCATCTCCCCCCCCCCGACCTGCAGCCTCTACTGTGCTCAGTCACATTGGCTGTCATGGGGGGGGATCTCAGTGGGGTATAAGGACACAGAGTCCACCATCTTCTCCAGGGGAACTGATCTCTGCCATCTGGAGAGCAGTTGTAATTCTGAGTGATCTCCACCCCTCACCTGGAGATTGGTAACAGTGATTTCCCAGGAGGAAAAGTAGTCTTTCTGCAATGGGGACCAAAGCAGCTTACATCATTCTCCTCTCCCCCTTTTGACTTGCACAACAACCCTGTGAGGTAGGTTAGGCTGAACGTCTGTGACTGGTCCAAAATCACCCACTTGGCTTCTACAGCAAGAACCTGGATCTAGCAGACCCTGCTCTGAAGCACTGACTGCTATGCCTAGGGCAGCCAACCTCCAGGTGGAGCCCGAAGATCACCAGGTATCACAACTGAACTCCAGACAAGAGATCTCTCTCCCCGCCCAGAGAAAATAACTGCTTCAGAAGGTCGGCTTTATGACATTATGTTCAGCTGAGGCCTCTCCCTTCCCCAAACCCTGGCCTCCAAAGACTTTACCAGAAAATCTCTAGGAATCTCCCTACCTGGAGCTGGCAACCCTAGTCAGGACTGGCCCCAATGAGTTCCTCACAAAGGCCTGCAAAGGGTTTCCTTCCTTTTTCTGAACCAAGCTTGGTTACTTACTGTGGCAAAACGGGCTCCAGTTTACAACTCAACTGTTCGCCTCCCACCCTTGTCCCATGAGCGTATCTCACTCCTTAAGTTCGCTGCCACCACTCACTGAATTGGCTCTGCCTTTTTAGAGGGACAGTGAGACCCCTCTGGCCGAATCTCCCTATTCGGAGATCGAACCCCCAATCTTTGGGGGATCCCTGGAAAGTTGGCAACCTAAGGGTCTGGTCTTTCCTTGCTTCCTTGGGCTACCCCCTCCCTTTGTTATTGTGCAGAGTGGGGGAGACTATGTGGTTTTATTTAACTATATTTTATTTAACTATTTACACAATTATGGAGCACACACACACAAAATGAATAAGGCAGAACTGTAGGAGTAATCACACACTATGAACCAACAGGAGTTAAACACAATCCTCTTTCCCCGCACACAACACTCTCTACCTCTGGAGGTTGTGGGCTCAGGATACAATCTCTCCTTGGACTGGCTCTGCTTCAGCCTCTTTCTTTCTTACCCAAGAGAGCAGGGAAACTTCCATTCATTCCCCAGTCTAGCCAACTGCGGCGTGGCTGAGGCTGAATTTCTGCTGCCTTCCAGGGTTCCCCCATGTCTGTAGCTTGTGGCCTAGACAGCCTCATCAGCACAGGCAGCAGGAGCATCTCCTAACCTCCTGTAGGACGGAGATTGCCTCCTCCCTGGATGGGCTGGAGTCTATATTGATGGTGCCCTGCCCCTTGGGACAGTCCCTCTTTTCCTGCACATTTTGGTGCAGCTGGGGACTGTAGGCCAGCAGATGAGGAAGCCCCATTCAACCCAGTGAGTGATACCCCTGCAGGCCCGTCTCTGGAACTACAGCTCAATTAAACCTAATGGGGGAACATTTAAAACAACCAACCACAGACGGCAGCCATCTTACAAACACAGGTAACTGCCATTTTGTTACACCTACCAACAGCCACTGAGGGAAGTTAGTCCCACACAGGAGGCAAGCAGGAGAAGCGTCTTTGTGAAGAGAAAGCCGTTTGCCAGTAATTCTGACAGGGCACAGTGGCTGAAGGGGGAGTGGGCAGGGAAGAGGACCAGACCCAGCACCTGGCCAGAGGCACACGAGTGCTCTTGAGTGGCGGCTGACGGGCCAATGGCTGATGGAGCACATTGCACAGCCAATGGGAGAGCTACAAAGTGCCACCCCAAAACACAATTATTATATATAGAGATACTGCAACTTTCCACTGGATTAACCTGAGGGTGGTTTTCAAGTACAGTACAAAACAGGACTAAAAGCGGGGGGAGAAAAACAGCAACAGTATAAGTATTCAGCACAAAATAGCAAATACTTCTATGTATAAAAGTGACACAAAACCAGCAAGAGAGCACAGCTTGATAACAAAACATTTAAAGCTTATATTTTAAAAACTACATTTCCCAGGGCTGCTGTTATTGTAATGGTCTAGGCACAGATGGAGGGAGGGGGAGAAAGGAAAACGCAGGTTGTGACCCGTATTTACATATGGAAATATTGCAGGTCAAATTATTTCAAATATTTATACCCTGCATTTCTGTTTCAAGATTGATACCTTTTACAAAACTGTAGTTTTAGACATCTCATGAAAGTTTCTTCTTAAGCACACACTTGAAATGCCTTCTCTATTGGACCTCAGTGGCATTTGCAAAGTGTCTTTACATGATTTTAAAAAGAATACATTTAACATAGTGCCTTTTCACACAAGCTGTTTGGC